TCTCGCCCTGGGACTTATCCAGACCAGTGTTCTCAATTTCAGAAGGGTTGGGCAGGTAATCGCAAACAGCGTCGAGCATAGGCTGAACGCCCTTGTCGGCAAGAGCAGAACCCATCATGACAGGAGTGAAAGTTCGGGCGATAGTAGCACGTCGGATAGCGGCCTTGATCTGAAGGTTGGTAGGTTCCTGCTCCTCAAGATACAGTTCGGCAATTTCGTCGTCGACATCAGCAAGCTTCTCAATCAGAGCCTGGCGCTTCTCCTTGGCGAATTCCTGGAGAGGGCCGGGAATCTGATCGGTAACGCGAACCTTGGTACCACGGGGACCCTCGAAGTACATAGCCTGCATGTTGATGAGATCGACAACGCCCAAGAACTCGTCTTCGGCACCAATAGGAATCTGAATAGCGGCGGCAGGAATCTTGAGCTTCGTGTTGATCTGTTCGACTGCCTTCCAGGGGTTGGCACCCATGCGATCCATCTTGTTGACGAAAGAGATTCGGGGGACATTGTAACGTTTCATTTGACGGTCGACGGTGATGGTCTGAGACTGGACGCCGGAAACAGCGCACAAAATCATGACGGCGCCGTCAAGCACTCTCAGGGCTCGCTCGACTTCGATGGTGAAATCAATGTGACCAGGTGTATCAATCAGGTTGAAGTGGTAGGTTTCCTCTTTGCCGTTTTCCGTTTTCTTCCAGTCGGCGAAAGTAGCCGCAGACTGAATAGTGATGCCTTTTTCCCTTTCGAGCTCCATGGAGTCCATCTTGGCGCCAACGGAATCCTTTCCTCGAACCTCGTGGATCGAATTGATTCGGCCGGTGTAGAACAGGACTCGTTCACTGACTGTTGTCTTTCCACTGTCGATATGGGCCTGTTTAGTTCTTGTTAGCAGAAGGGGGTGAAATGGTGACGGCCATTGATCATACAGCGATACCGATGTTGCGCACACGAGACAGGCGCTTGGCCTCCTCAGTGGACATGTTGGCGGCGACATACTCGGGTGTTAAACTGGCAGCATCTTCCTGAGCTTTCTTGAGACTAACTATGATATTAACATTGTGTTCAGCAAGCAAAGGGGAGGGGCAATCGAGAACTCACGCTTCTTGCGCCGCACTGCAGCTACGCTTGGTCTGACTGAAGGCTCGTCGACTCTCCCACGCGGGAGCGGCAGCTGAAATAGTAAACGAATGGCTACCACAGCTTGGCTGCTGGATGCCGAGGATCAGACGGCAATTGAGCCATCTGGCAGCCCATGTTGCCCTCATCTTGCAATCTTGGACTTCAGCAAAGAAGTTGAGGAGAGGGTTGCCAATGATCAACGGTCCATTGGAAACTTTTTTCTTTGGTGTCGGGATTAGCAGGATGGAGGTGTAGCGCCACATGTGTACGTAGTTCTGATTCGCTCAGCGCTTAATTCCCGCCATCAACGGCACTGTAACTTGAGTGTGGGCGCCTTAGCCGAACGCCTCCATATCTTGACATGAATGGAATAAGACAACGTCTGAACGTTCTATGGGAGAAAGTTAGCCAAGCACATGAACGCAACATATTCTTTTGTAGTTATTTAAGGGTATATTTTGAGTTGTTGAGCATTGACTATGTGTCTCATCAGAGAGCTGCCAAGATACAAAACTGCCGTCAGTCTGCTGAGGTTGAGGCCTCGGGAATTTTCTCGACTTCAGATTTGGATATATATGCATCATTAACATTTGTATTTATAGGTATTCTTTTAGGCTTTCTATGCCATTCTTTTACTGGTATCATTTGTGTAGTCTCATCACCCATTGCGCCCTTTTTGTATCCTCATTACCAACGGCTCCGTCCGACCGTTAAACGCCAAAATCAGCCCATGCCAATGCAACCCTTGTTCAACGCCAGTGTCATGAACCTGTTAGCCTCTGAAGCAAATGACTTATGCAATGCAGCCAAAACTCCGTAGACAGTGTCATCAAAAAATGCTCGAGAGAATCCCTCCGCCTGCAAGCATAAAGCTCATAGTGGTAACGACCAGCGCCAAAGGTGTTGTCCCGGGGGCAAGCAATGATCCCGCATTGTCCTCGTCATCATTTCCATTTGAGTCTGATTCTTGAAATCCTTCAGCAGCAGTGAAGTTATGACCTGGGACTGTTGGTTTTTCGGTTGCTCTGTGCTGATTACTTGCTGCCGTTGCGGATGGGATGGTTGCCCCATAGCTCTTGAATGGGACTCGTTTGCTTTTCGTCGAATTGAAATCAGTAGCAGCAATTCCAACTTCGTTATTTACCAGGTCATAGACGACATAGGCGGATCGAAGAAAGGTGTTGCCAAGTAGGTACAGATCGTTGGTGTCGTTTTGTATACCAAAGGTACATATGTTCTCGCCCTTGTACGCGCCTGATTCAAAGGCTGGCATATTGGCCGCATCACTGGTCATGGTAAGAACGAGCTCATCCATCCCTACGCTGATGCTAGGACCGTCAGGGCCTGCGAACCCAAATGTGAAATTCCCTTGATTCCTGCCGTAAGCACATGGTAGAACAGCTACCCCATAGTACGGTGACCACACAGCACCAACTTCTTCCCAGATCTCATGGGCCAGATCTTGGGGAAGGTAGCTCAAGGTGGTTCCAGAATCGAGAACGGCCTGAATAGGGAAACTATCTGAGGTAAGGACATCGCTGCCGCTGGAGCTAGTGGCGACCAGTGAGGTCAAGGCCACGATGAAGTGGTAGTAATGGCCATCTAACTTTTGAATGTCGATTCGGTGCATATCGCCGACGTACTTTGCTGTGTCAACCCCTCCGAATAGAATGCTGCCGGCTTTGGCGTCTAGGTCGTTGAGCCACACACTGTAGGCGATAGTATTGATATAGCCTGCTTGGTACATCGCAACAGGAAGGTTGGGATAAATAACATCTGTGGTGCTGCCCGATGCCTCGTTCTTGGCGTAACCAACGCCAATCAAGCCATATGAAATGTTAGTCTTGATAGCCAGTCCCATGGTCAGATTGTTGATGACAGCGCCGTCCAACTCAAAGTGATCTTCAAAATAATCGCCCTTGACATAACTGTCATCTACAAAGGTGATGCCGAACATTCCAGGCGCGACATGTTTGAATGTCTTGGACTTATCGGGGTCAACTGTAAAATCGTCAGTAATGAAGCATAATACTGGGCAGGAGTGCCATCTTACAGCTTCCAAGAGGGCAACCACTTTTTCCATTCTTGTCGTCTTCGCAGATATCTGCACAGTTCCAGGGAACCCATACATCACTACTCCCGGTATCGAGCTGAAGGGTAATGTTCTGAGGTGGGTTGCCGATCGTGACATCTGTAAAGTAGCCTCCTTCAGATCTGTCATTACTTATGGCCTCTTCATATGTCGTTTTGGCGCGACGGGCCAAATGTGGTTGAGGATGGCGACCCTCGATGTTCCACTGGATGGTTTGGGCTTGCACAAGACCCAATGTCGAAACCAGCGAAGCACCCACAAGGAACGACTTCATCGCAGCCACGAGGGAGAACCAGGCAAGAGCCAGGAAGAGATGAGTTCAGGAATGGCGTTGAACGGGGTAACGCCACCCTCCTCCATAAGGCGAATAGGCTCGGGGCCAACCAACCGAGATGTAAGAATACTGTAAAATGGCAAGTGCCTTTTGTGTGTGAATAAGTAGGTGAGAGAGTAAGAATTTGAGACGTGAGTTGAGTTGATAGGTATCAGTTTGTTTGAAGGGCGAGGTAGTGCAAAGAAGCGCTTAACAGCTAGTTGATAAGTTAGGTTGGTTGCACTAGGACATAGATGTCGCAAGAAACGCCAGCCAAAGAAATACAGGGTAAAAGACCCAAAGTTAGGACAGATGTGGTGGATCCTAGGACAGCTGCAGCTGTGTGTATGGAAATGCAAACTGATGAAAGAGGGGAATTCTGGAGAATATAAAAAGAACAAGGGTGGAAAGGAAAACGAAGTAACGAATCAGGGTTAACAATGAGCGCAAGATTGTCGATTGACAGGAGATGATGGATGAAGTGGAAGAAACGGCACGGGGGGGCCACGCAAGCTTGGTACATAGCAAACGACGAGCACACCCGACCAGACTCGGGACTTTCCCACTTGGATCACTACGGAGTACCTAGTAGAACTATTACCAACTTGGGAACTTGCCTCTTGACTTGAGTGCGTGCACGCTGTAGCGCCAAGATGTCTCGTTGACCCTTGCGCTAAAAAAGGGTGAGTCGTCAGCGTCTCTCTGGGCTGGGATGATGAGCAGAAACAAAACATAAGACGCAATGGGCTTGTGGTAGTGGCCGTTTCTGTCTCGCGCTTTTTGTCACCCCTCAGCTACCAATCCAAGGATCAGTGGGATGATGCGCTAGGTGGGCGGGTACTAGTTAGTTGTTTGAGGCTTACGAAGCCCGGTGCTAATTGAGTATTATGTCAGTTCAAGTACGATCGGAAGCGTCGAAATTTCTACTGCCCTAACTATCTCACTTGTCAAAGTTAACATGGATCGTTTTGACTTTACACCTTGCTTCTTATAGAAAGGTACGGCTATCGCGGCGTGTTGTAATCACCGACTCGAAAATTACATGCTAAACATCAAAACTCTTGGTATCTCTGGATAATACGAGATTTGCACGTGCTCGCAGGCCAAGAAGAGCTGCCAAGTAATGATCATCGTCACTATCGAATTAGAGTGCAAGTTTGGAGACTGTACCTGGCAGATCAATTAACATTCTGAAAACAAAATGGTCGATCTGTCAGTCAAAATCGTTGGATTTGACCCTTGTCTCCTGTCGTGTAGCAATCAACACTTGCATTCTCCCACTTTCCGTGTTGCCGTGCGAGTATTTGCACAACCCGTAGAACATTACCTACCAGCTGACGACGACGCCTTGGCCAAGTTGAGTTGTAAATGCCGCTCATCCGTGCAACTCGGGGTCACTTTATCTAATGCAGTTCGATATGAACCAAATGCGAGATTCAGTGGAAGCAATTGTGTTACCTCTGGACTGCCTAACTATAGTAAGTTTGCGTCGATGTAAGTACCCAATCGCTTCAACCCCTTGACTAGAACATGTGTCTCACAGACATACCCCATTCTTATATATCCCTTAAAGTCCTCGTCGTTCCCAAAGCATTTCGAACCTGCCCCAAACAGGTCATTGTTCTTGCTTAGCAGGTCCAAGCAGAAGTTAACATCGTTTATAGGTTGGCCATTCTTGATGAAACGAACAAATGATGTCGTCCCGCCCGTGGGCTCTGCCCAGGAACAGACTGCCTTATCGCGTCCGATAAACTCTTTGACCAGTTTCGCATTGTGCCTCGCCAGTGTCAAGTTGCGATCAACTAAAGAAGGGAGAACTGCTGGCGATAGGGCGTATTTCGCGACCTGGTCATCAATCTGGGAAACGCTGATTGTGGTGTAGTCTCACGCGGCCATAATGGCTGAGATGATGGACTTGTCCTTGCTTGCAATCCAGCCGACCCGAATCCTAGCCAAAGCACATCCTTTAGACATGGATCCCGTCGTGATCGTTCTTTCATAACCCAAGGTCGTAGCAGACTTCAGAATGTCAATTTGACCAGAGACCCCGCCATGAAAGAGTGGGCGATAAACTTCGTCAGAGAACAGGATGATGCTTTTCTCCTTTGCTGTTTGAGCAATGCGCCCCAGTTCACTGTTATGCATAGGTGCACCGGTGGGATTGTTAGAATTGTTTATAATGATCATCTAGCACAGCAGTAAGTAATCATCTCTTTGGACGGCCTGAAAACCTTCACCTCTGTGTTCTTTCGGATGAGGTTGATGAGGTTGATCAGCTCATCCTCGTTGGGAATGAAGCTCTCTTCCGTCAGCTTCCATAATGAGACTTCAGCTCCAATGCTTCGCGGAACCTCATATAGCTGCTGGTATGTCGGATAAACACAAAGAAAGTGATCATTTGGCCCAACGAGGCTATATAGGGCCAGGAAGTTGGCACCGATCGCGCCTTGTGTAACAAACAATATCTTCTGCAACAAGTCTTGTGTCTTGGTGCTGCACTGTGCAGCTATTCTCTCTCTCAATGCGTTGGAACTGGGAATAGGGCCTTATGTGAGTTTGAGGCTTGTATCAATGGGACCTTGTGCTTTGGGGTCTTTGCACATGTCGACCAAGTCGTCAATCGATACAGACACAGCACACGTCTCAGCAACATTCAGTCCCCCAGGAGTTGTCTCATACTCGTCCATCCATTGTTCAACAGCGAAAGGTGCAATTCGAACTATGCTGAGGAAGCCTTAGAGTTAGTCAGGTTCCTTGGATTGGCCGATTTCTATTCTTGTAATAATTATTTGATGACGGTGTCGGCTTTTAAATAGTACAACTTCATTTTAACTGATTCAATGCTGACTTCAAGGTCAAGCCCCGCATTTACACGTCCTTCTGTCTCGAAGCGCCATTCAACGTCATAAGCGCCTTTTACTTTGTCAAGCTGGGCGATTTACTATGGATTCACTCATCTGTCAGGGAAACTAGTCATGATCACTGTCATGAGGTCTATGAATACCTCGTCGAGCCTATTATTATGAAGTGGTGGCAGTGGTACGAGTCATGATGACAAGCTGCTTGAGAGCTTCCCCGCAAAGCTTGATCGAGAACGACAGGGGTAAAATCTGGGGATAGCACCGCTAATAACACCTCAAGGTAGTTTCCACCATATCGCGGGTATCATTCACATTTGGATACCAGATCAAGTATCATTCTACATAATTCACCTTATGGACCATGTGCAATATCTTCAGGTCCCTCAATCCAAGTTAGTTAGAAGGGTTGTATGGCGAAAGCATCCGTGGGTAGCGTTCTCAGGCGGTCATTATCATAGGTCGTGGTAAGGCGTCATGAGACAATTCGATATTCGCTATGACATTTCATGTTTCAACTCAACTTTTAGTTTTTGTATATTTATAGTTAGGTCAATCAAGCACTGCATGTTACATGGCCGTACCGATGTAACAGGGTCAGCATGCATGTTCACGACATGTCATCAATCCCGTCTGAGGCGGAGGAGCAGGTTGTGACCTGGCGCAGTATTCCGATACTATATGCGCAATAACTGTTATCCCTGATACGGGATACGAATATTGATGGTTCTGCTGCGGTACGGTATACGGTCTATAAAACAGAATGAGTTGGAATAAAAAAAATGTATTGTGAAAAATAAGAAGCATAGGGTAGCGAGACTTATTGGGGGAGTAGGTAAACACAAGACGTGCTAAGCATTCACAAGCTGGGAAAACTTGAGAGGATAAGACCTTCGACTAATAGTGAGCAGTAGATAACATGTCCGCGTTATCGGCTCAGTGATGGTCGATGGTGAATCATGGATATTTACTAATGTATAGTCATGAGCACAGTTTGAGATCAAGACAGCCAGACTTATCATCAGCTCCGGTTAGTGACGTCAGACCTATACCTGAAACACCAATGCGTGTCAGCACATGGGATACCCTCATAATAACTATATTCTCGTTCCATACATGCATAGAAGGCTTGTCATCAGGGATATTTGATACGTGGGCAAGACAATTCTTTCCATTGGCCGATTCCGGCTCAAGAAGTGAAGTTAGTTGTCATGTCCCCATACATACGCTGTTTTCGATAACCTGATAGCTCCATCGAGTCATGAGACCCATATTTAGCGGCTATGCCAGCCACTCATAATTTACCCTACGGCCAGCTGCACGTCTCCAGTACCTGCCTAAATGGAACGCGGGGCGCCACTCTTCGGCGGAACAGCTTATCCTGGTCGCGCTCATAAGCGTCGGTGGTTCAACAACCCAGCCTCCAACATCAACATTGTTCTATCACCAGACTGCATCGTGTTTCCATCGCTGCAGTTATGGCTCCTTCTTCTCTGAGGAGCCTCCTATTGGGAGCTCTGGCTCTTTGGCCTGGTCTGGTCATGGCTTCCCAGAACTCAACTTTCTCTCAGGCCGATCAACTACGGGCACAGCTAGCTCTCATGGGTGATCGCCCAGATGGCTGTCCTCCTTGGTGCGTCAATGCGATCCCGAATCCCCACGAACTTACATTGCCCATACTGATATATCTGTAGTTTCAATTGTCTCCTTCCTGCACACACGTGTGCTCAATATGCTGGCTGTAACGAGTTCAACGGAAAATGCGCCTGTCCTGAGGGATTTGGCGGTGATGACTGCCTCGAGCCACGTGCGACCTCCCCCCGTTATCGTCAGCTAAACCTCGACTGACTTTGTCTATTAGTGTGCGGCTCACTTCCCAAGGGAAACGACCGCCCAATGCGATCTGGTGCATCATGCGATTGCGACGAGGGCTGGACTGGCATCAATTGCAACGTCTGTACTGACAATAAAGCTTGCAACGCACTCATGGAAACCGGCGAAGGCGGTATCTGTTACCAGAATGGTGAGGTTGTGAACCACAACTATCAGATCTGCGATGTCACCAACGAGAAGATCACGTCTTTGCTCGGCAAGCAGCGTCCAGAAGTCACGTTTACTTGTAAACAAGAGGATCAGACTTGCGATTTCCAATGTGTGTTCAAACCTTCATCATTCGCACACGCTGCTAACCTTGATGCGAAGTTTGGGTAGATGCTATCGAATCGTTCTACTGCCATCTCTCCGAATGCGATTCGAGCGCCGATTGGGAGGAAGAGAAGAACACAACTTCCTACAAATGCAATAAGATCAGCTGCAGCTGTATTCCCGACCGGATGCTCTGCGGAAAAGATGGATCCATCGATCTCACAGACTTCCTTGACCAATCCATTCAAGGCCCAGGGCGATTCGAATGTACTCAGAAGCATGGCGGTACTCACGACTGTGCTTTCAGAGAACCCGAGATGGATGCCTTGATTCTAGCCCTAATTGGCGACTCCAGCATTCTTCTTAGCTGCCACGCTGGTGAATGTCTCTACGAGACAGAGGTTCCAGGATATAAGCGTCCTGTCAAGAAGATCAACACACCTCTTATTGCGGGCGTGATTGCGGGCTGCTCTCTCTTCTTGGTTGCTGTTATTATCTTGACATGGTATCTGTCAAGGCGTAAGTTGAGCTACGGAGCCATTCGTTTGGAAGACTCAGATGACGAGAGTACGAAACTGATGACCGACCACAAACCCGCTTCCCTCTACTTTGACGATGTTGCGTACACTTTAAATGGTAAACAGATTCTTACTGGAATCCGTGGTATCTGCAAGCCTGGAGAGGTCACCGCCATCATGGGTGCGTCTGGAGCAGGAAAGACAACATTCCTCGATATTCTCGCACGAAAGAACAAGCGTGGACAAGTCCATGGCAACTTTTACGTCAACGGCGAGAAGGTCAACGATAATGATTACAAGAATGTTGTTGGGTTTGTTGATCAGGAGGACACCATGCTTCCTACTCTTACCGTTCATGAGACCATTCTCAACAGTGCTCTACTTCGACTTCCTCGCGACATGGGCCGTGCTGCCAAAGAACAACGTGTGGTTGAGGTTGAAAAGGAACTCGGCATTCATCACATTCGTGATTCCCTGATCGGTTCTGAGGAGGGCAAGGGGCGTGGTATCTCGGGCGGTGAGAAGCGACGTGTAGGAATTGCTTGCGAACTGGTCACCAGCCCTTCGATTCTGTTCCTCGATGAGCCGACCAGTGGTCTTGACGCGTACAACGCGTACAATGTGGTTGAGTGTCTCGTCACTCTGGCGAAGACATACAAACGAACCGTCATTTTCACAATTCATCAACCTCGATCCAACATTGTGGCACTCTTTGACAGGCTCGTGCTGCTAGCACAGGGACGCACCGTTTACTCCGGTCCTTTCAGCCAATGTCAAAGCTATTTCGACGAAATTGGCTACGAATGCCCCCCTGGCTTCAATATTGCTGATTATCTTGTTGACCTTACCATGCATGCTGGCAGCACTCAATCCGTTGATAACGGTACTGTCGGCCTTGACAACAACAGTGTTGGGCCAAGCAGCACCCGTGCTATCAAATCTGTGGCAAGCATATCAGGCACTACTTCGGGAGACGACGACGCCAGCTCAAGCCGACCTCAGAATCGACGTAGAGACTCGGTCAAGGTTCGCCAGGATCGCGAGCTCTTCACACGTAGAAAGACGGTTGACACTGCAGCCTCCTCAGATGCTGGTGGTGAGGACAATGGTGCCTATCGCCTTCATCAAAACCCTGTCGACTCTACTCCCGCAACCCTCCTTGACGACCCTCATGACTTGCCTCCAGCAGCAGCCACTGGCACGGACCTCGACATTATGACACGTGCATTCATCTACTCGGAAATTGCTTCATCAACACACGATGAGATCCAGCGTGCCATCCAGATTGCGCAAGATGCCAATGGCTCCAACGCAAATGGCTACACTGTTGAGGGACCCAATGTTCATGTCAGTGCTGTTGGAAAGGGCTATGCCCGAGTTGGCTACTTACGTCAGTTCATCATTCTGTCTCAGAGGACTTGGAAGAACTTGTATCGAAACCCGATGTTGATGCTTACTCATTTCGCTATCGCCATCGTGCTCGCTGTTTTTTCAGGATATCTCTTCTATGGTCTCACAGACGACATCCCCGGCTTCCAGAACCGACTTGGTCTCTTCTTCTTCCTGCTCGCTTTGTTCGGCTTCAGCACACTCACAAGTCTCAACGTATTCGCCACCGAACGTCTTCTTTTTGTTCGCGAACGTGCCAACGGTTACTATGCGCCAGCCACTTATTTTGCGGCCAAGGTACTGTTCGACATAATCCCTCTACGAATTGTCCCCCCCATCCTCATGGGTTCCATAATCTATCCTATGACCGGCTTGGTGGCAGACTCAACGCACTTCTTCAACTTTATATTGGTGCTGGTACTCTTCAACATGGCTGCTGCGGCTGTTTGTCTCTTTATTGGAATTGTTTGCAAGGATGGCGGAGTCGCGAACTTGATTGGCAGCTTGGTCATGCTTTTCAGTCTTCTTTTCGCTGGCTTCCTCCTGAACCACGATGCCACTCCTAAGGGTGCTCTTTGGCTCCAGACGCTGTCAATCTTCCACTACGGCTTCGAGTCGCTTATTGTCAATGAGGTTCTTCAACTTACACTCGTGGACAGCAAGTACGGACTTGATATCACCGTGCCTGGTGCGGCCATCCTCAGCTCCTTTGGATTCAACAATAATGCCATGTGGCCTGACATCAGGAATTTGGGCATTTTTGCTGCCGTCTTTATCATCTTGTCTTACGCGGCTATGCATTTCTTGCTCGTCGAAAGACGATAAATCAGCATAGAGGGATTGGCCATTGTATAGGGTCTCAGAGTTAAAGGAACGATGCAACTGTCATTGCTTGCGGTGATAATATACATAGGATGAGGCATACTGGGCGTTTGGTTGGATGGGGGCACGTTCTCGTTCTGTCGTGGGTTATTGTATCAAGTCTCACAATATATATAGAATCGCATTCTAAAGAACATTTTGAACGCACATATGAGTCCGTGGTAGGCCGCTTGAAGACGTGATATTTGTCATAGTTACAGTAATACATGAGTACAAGTTATTTTTACAAGCCAACGGGCATGATCTATTCCATCTTTCCACCAGTGAACTCTTCGGCAATTCTCTTCTGTCGCTTGACGGAGCGGTCGTACTCGGTTTCGTAAAAGTCCATAATCTTAGTGGATACTCCTGTTGTTGTTTCCAACATGTTGCCAATCGATGTTGGCTTGCCCCAGACGTCCCATGTGTTCTGGGCTGAACCATATCGGCCGATGTCGAAGCCTTGCTTGTGGAAGAAGTCTTCGGCAAATATGGTGTCGATCTCTTCCTTGAGCTCACTCTCATTGACAATGAAGTTGGAGGCATTGATGTAGAGCTCCATTAACGCATCGCGGCGAGCCTCGCGCTTAGCTTCCTCAATAGCCTTGACCTTGACGCGGCTCTCTTTGGCACGAGCGAAGCGTTTAGAGTCAGGGTAAGTCTTGGTGTCCAAGACTGCCTTCAGCACTGTGCTACGGGTGAGGCGATCGTCCTCTCGTTCTGGGGCTTTAACAGCCCGGTGGTTCTCGAGAAACTTGTGGCTCACACGCTCGTTCTGAACAGCATCACGTCGGTTCCTTCGTACCCAAAGTTCCTTCAAACCAGTTTCCAGGTTCTGCCGACGGGAGTTGGCCATTGTTTGCTTCCATTCTTGTGTCTCGTTCATGGGTTTTTGCTTGTGGGCCGGCTTAGGAACGGTTTGCTTGATGTAATCGGCTCGAATCTTGCGGTCACCCTCCATACGAGGGAAGATCTCTCGAGGTACGGGGAGATGACCTCTGACCCGGGGAAGCTTCTTCTCTTCGGACTGTGGTGGTGTAGGCAAGCGGATATATGAGGGAGACTCGGGAGGGACTTGTTCGAGAGCATGAGCCGAAGTGGAAAAGGCTCTTGAGGCCACGAGGAACTGACGAGCAGTCGCCCTCGGGCATGAAGCTGTGAGGCTAAAAGACATTTTTAGCAGAGCCTTGGCCAGGTTGAGCACTGAGGAGCTCGAGTTGAATCGCAATTGACGCCGTACCCCCGTCGTCAAATCGGCTTCTGCAGAATCAATCGCCAGCCTGAGAAAATCGACGTCGGATCAAATTTGCGGATTATTTGGTTCCGCGTGCGAGACCCCTGGCATTTTGCGCCCCGCCACCAACCACCGCAGGAAGTTAGTGGGGCTCTTATCCTACTAAGAAAAAAAAAGTTCTAAAGGAATAAATTTCTGGATTGTTCAACCTCTTCCTCTCTCTTTGTCTTTCTTTGTCGCCAGTATCCTCGACCAACTTCCGCCAACTTTTTCGCCATGGGTACTGGAAAGAAGGAGGCCACCCGGCGTGAGCGCCAGGGTAAAGGTGGTGATGGTCTCAACAATGTCAGAACTAAGGGAGAGAACTTCTATCGCGATGCGAAGAAGGTCAAGCACCTTAACATGTACAAGGAGGGCAAGGCGCAGAGAAACGCCGAGGGAAAGATTGTCAAAGCTGCGTCCTTCCAGTCGCGCGACGTTCCTAACGCCCGCATCGAGCCGAACCGCAAGTGGTTTACCAACACCCGAGTCGTCTCCCAAGATACCCTCAACGCCTTTCGTGAGGCCATGGATGAGAAGGCCCGCGACCCCTACCAAGTTCTTCTCAAGTCAAACAAGCTGCCCATGAGCCTTATCAGAGATGGAAAGGACACCGAGAACGGTATCAAGCAGCACAAGGCCAAGATGACCGTCGAGACCTCCCCCTTCGCTGAGGTCTTCGGTCCCAAGGCGCAACGCAAGCGAGTTAAGCTTGGTGTTAGCAGCCTGGATGACCTTGCTGGTGACACCGAGAAGAGCATGGATACCTATCGGGAGAGGCTGGAACAACAGAAGCTTCTCAGCGGCACATCTGGTGACCCAGAGACTCTTGGAGACACCGATAAGCCTCTTACTATGTCGATTGAACCTGTTTTCGATAAGGGTCAGAGCAAACGAATCTGGAACGAGCTTTACAAGGTCATTGATTCTTCAGATGTGGTTATCCACGTTCTCGATGCGCGAGACCCCGTTGGAACAAGATGCCTCAGCGTTGAGAAGTATCTCAAGGAAGAAGCCCCTCACAAGCACTTGATCTTTGTGCTGAACAAGTGTGACCTGGTCCCTACCAGTGTAGCAGTAAGTCTTTTCTCTCTCCATATCTTCATCTCCCTCCTCCTATACCCCAATGTTCTTTGTCAGGATTTGTCCCTTTATGTACCATGGGACCTGTCTGTTATAACATTGGGAGAATAAACGCCAGTCTCGACTGTCGTCAACGTCTTGTTGTTCGGCTGATGTGTGCCGTTTTGGTTACCATCATGAGTCAGGCCAAGTGTCCGATTGAGTTGAAGTCTGCCTATGCCATTAACCAATTGCGGGGCATCGATTGCATACTTCTTAGTGATGACACAAACATCTTGCTCCCCTGGAATTAATGTTCTTTATCGTTATAACTTTGTTCGAATACTAATTCGATGCAGGCTGGATGGGTTCGTAGTCTCTCTAAAGAGTACCCTACTCTTGCTTTCCACGCTAGCATTACGAACTCTTTCGGAAAGGGTTCTCTCATTCAGCTACTTCGACAATTCTCCTCCCTCCATTCTGATCGAAAACAAATCTCTGTTGGACTGATTGGTGGACCCAACACTGGAAAGTCCTCCATCATCAACACTCTCCTCAAGAAGAAGGTCTGCACTGTCGCTCCTATCCCAGGAGAGACTAAGGTCTGGCAATATGTCAGCCTGATGAAGCGGATTTACCTAATTGACTGTCCTGGAATTGTTCCTCCATCGAGCACTGATTCACCCACCGACTTGGTCCTCCGAGGTGTCGTGCGTGTGGAGAAGGTTGAGCACCCTGAACAGTATATCCAGCCTCTGCTGAACCGGGTCAAGCAGCACCACATGGAGAAAACATACGAGCTTAAGGGATGGACAAACTCTACAGAGTTTCTTGAGCTCCTGGCCCGCAAGGCTGGACGACTTCTCCGTGGAGGTGAGCCTGACTTAGATGGTGTAGCAAAGATGATTCTCAATGATTTCATGCGAGGCAAGATTCCATGGTTCACACCTGCGCCAAAAACTGAGGGTGAAGTGGACGGCAAGGTTGGCAACCGTGAAGGTAGACTTGGAGAGATGCCTCGAAAGCGAAAGCAGGAAGAGACCGTTGAAGATGAAGATGCTTCTGCCGAAGCCCAGCTTCAACGAGAGGCTGAAGCCGCGGAGAAGGCTGAGCAGGAGAGCCCTGATGGTTCCGATGAAGAATCAGAGTTTGAAGGCTTCGGCAGTGACACCGAGGAAGCACGATCAAGAAAGCCTTCGTTTGGTGCTACTGTGGATGGTGAAGATAGTGATGGTGATAGCGTCGACGATGATGTGATATCTATCGGTGGCTCTGAACCAGAGGATGAAAACAAAGAGGAAGAGGCACCTGCAGCTAAGCAGAGTAAAGGAAAGAAGACAAAAGGCGGTCCTTCAAACAAGAAAAGGAGGACATGATCGGCCTGGAGTCGATCAAATTATCATGGTCTTTATCTTCATTCGAGGTACTTGCTTGCGCATCCTCAACTAAACTCTTAATGATACCCACGTTAATACTTGCACACCTTGAGTTTCGGCCTCGCAGTGATATGGCATCTTTCTCAACTGGGACAAGCAGAATGGCTGTTGCCTTTATCTTTAATGCCGCTGAGCCATGCCTTGGCAGCTCTTACTATAAGTCTTCTAATACGTGCCACTTGTTCAAAGACTGAGCTAAGGCGTAGTATTTGGCAAACTAACAATTGACAACATACAAATCAAGATGAGGCAAAGAAAAGACCAGGAAGGCAAAAAGATTGCCTCCACACAGGATTGAACTATGGACCTTTGCATTACAAGTGCAACGCTCTACCACTGAGCTATAAAGGCGTCTTGCTAAAATAAAGTCAAGAATGAGATTACAAGACGCCCCATGCAGAGACAGGTTATGATTTTGGCAAAAGGATCAAAAGGATTGCCCCCGCACAGGATTGAACTATGGACCTTTGCATTACAAGTGCAACGCTCTACCACTGAGCTACAAGGGCAATTACTAATCAGCGCGCTCAAAAAATTGTATATGTCGAGGCAGCATGTCTCAGAATACCTTCCCACCCTCGCTGATTCTTACAACAACTACAGTGATCTCACTGACGGGTATGTCCTATCACTGCACTTTATAGGTTGGGAGACGAAATACAAGCAGTCTCTCGAAGACGCGTGATGTGTTAGCCGCTTTATGACGATCAATATCTGCGTAGATCTTGTTGATCTTGTGCTGTCCTGTAAACAGAGTAACAAATACATGAAACCAATTGATGATATTAAAAACCTCTCTTATGTACTATCTTTTTGATGCTGAATAAAGTTTGTTAGACATGCTGTATATATGTACCCGTCGCCCAATCTATCCCCGAGACTCCAATATGTCCTGCTAAGTGGTGTAAAGACAATTTCACCCTTCAAGGAACAGAAGCAAGGCAATGATGAACATTGGAACAATATTCTTATTCGCTTAAATCCGACGTTGAGAGTTGTTTAAGTTGAAATTGACATCCTAAAACATAAGATAGCATAACATAACGGTGCTGGTAAGCCTGGGTATGCGAAACTAGCCAAGGCAATTTCCTGGTATATATGTATTCGATCAACCTCACTCGACTTATACGTGCTCCCTTCGCTATCGCATCTTCTGGCCGAGTGTGTCTCCAAGTAAAATCCATGCATCCTCGACGTCTTGCGGTATATCAACATGGACGATGGAGCCTTTGCCCCGTGGTCCGTATCCGTTCTCATTGTCTCTCATTCGTGGAATTTCGCCAACAAGTAGAGACATCAGTCGTTCCATACTCCAAAGACCATCATTTTGGTTCTTGTCAAAGTCAGCAATGCCATACCGCAAGTAAGAAGTGAGGCCGCTCGCTTGGTTCTGAGCCCCGGAGTCTTGAACGGCCACCTTGGGCACGAAGGTTGGCCAGCCGGCAAACACAGGAGCATCATCCCTCTTATCAGAGTAAACTTGTTCAAAGGCAGCAACCGTACGTCGACACATGGTGGGGTCTTGAGCGACGACAATAGAACATGGTGATGTGTATCCATGCTGGTCTAATATCTTTCTTGTGTACACTGCATTTAGTGCACAGTTTGTTGAGGCATCCTCGATCAAAATAGTGAGCTTTTGTGTTGGGTGCTTTCCTGTGGTTATGAGGTTGTTCTCTTCAACTTCAAGGTGGAAGAACCGCTCGACAATGGTCTGGAAGACCCGAGCCTCTGGCTGTCCCTGAACTTGGCCAGTAATCCTGTTGTACTTGGGATGTCGAGCTACAGCATCATATAGCAATTGGGTCGAATGTCCGATGCCACCGGTGATGACCAGAACAACCGCTTCATCTGGTGGGACAGCATTAGTCTTTTGTTTGATCGATTATGTTCATCATCTCTGTCCCCGCCATGAAAACCTACCCATTGCCTCTACCAACTTCGTCACCGATGATACGACAGTATCTACAATGGACAAAATTGCAGAGCCGCACAAAACAACTACCGCCACAGAACTTGAGCTTGTCTTGGCATTCGGCTGCTTCTTGGTCGCCGAAAAGCCGAAGAGGGCGCGTTGCAGATCTGACAGAGCGCAGACTTGCTCGTGAGCAACAAATTCCGAGATGATGTTCGCAGCGTCAGCCGCTTTTGAGACTTTATCGGGGGAGATATCCATTGCCTTTGATCAAAGATTTACTGCTTAGAGCCATGCGAGACAGACGTAGACCTCAATGGCCAATACAGAGAGGTGTAAAGGATTCAGCATGAGTAGATGTTGACGAAGCGGAGTATCCGGAAACGGAAAATCCGGCTGGCGGTGGTCTCAATTGGCAGCGTGGAGTCTCCCTATGTTTTGATATCGAGGGAAACTTCAGCTAGAGTCCAATCTAGTAATGGTCAAGTAAATGAGCTTTGTATCGTCTATCCTCCAGTTGTTGGGCATATCATGTATCGAATCCTAAGTTGAAGCTCTCACAAGCGCAGCAACACCCATGATGAGCTGAGCCATAGGAACTTTTAGAATTAGGAAGGCTTGGATAGCGTGGATAGCTTCATTTGCGCCTCGGGTGTTCACATGTGTCTCAGAACAGTATTCATAGAATAAATTGAGAGTTACTGTCTCATTTCTCCGTGTTCAGGTCGCCAAAAACACTCGCTTGCACCATCACACGGGGACGTTGCTAGTGAATTTTGGTAACAGAAGAACTGAGAAACTATCTGACAGTTTTTTCTTGATAGAAATATAGTGGCCAGAGAGACTCGATGTGGATTTGTTTCACCACGAAGGGACTTGGACCTGGTCATGCTCATTTCTACTTCAGACCAAGTACCTCGGTATTGATGAGTTCTCTTATTCTGAAAGCCGCACCTGTTCCCAGGACCTCTCTCCTTTTAGAACACAAAACCTAGATATCTCCCCTGAGAATTAGTACTGTTTAGTCGGTTGCGACTGCGAGACATGGAGCAAAACCTGACCAACGATTCAGAAACACCAGGAGCATTGGATGACTATAATAGCTTTGCAGGTTCATGAATTAAAAGGGGCCAGACTGCTATTTCCACTGTTGAAACAAGCGCTACTCTAACGCTGAAAGCCTCTCCAACTTCTTAAAAACATTATTGGACTGAGGAAAGAACCACTTACAAGAGTAGACTTCTTGTTATAGTCATGGTTGGTGAATCGTATCCCACAACCTCTTCTTGATAATAACCTGAACTTCTGCATTGCATCACCAGAAAGAGCATGGCGCGCCCAAATAAAAAACGAACATCTTGAGGTCAAGTTCAGTCGCGTGTTCGCTAGGCATAGATGGAGGCCTCGCAGTGGCAGCCGCAGTAGCTGCCACTGCGAGCTCAGGATCTCTGCCAGTGGCATTTGTCGCTCCACGCATCATCTAATAACGGAATAGCAGAACAAGGTACTAAGGTAAACAACAATGTTCCCCCACTTCGGACACATTGATCTTGTCGCCTCTCCCCGTACTCCTCTTCGTTTGTTCACCTTTCATCCTCTTGTTCTGGTTATGGGTATCGTGTCAAGAACATCAACACAAACCTTAATTTTCTTCATCTATCACCTATCAGCCACAATATCCCTAAAGAAGCCTCATGCAAGGCAGGCGAACTTAAAATGAATTCTGTCTCCGCCCCTGGAGAGCCTCAGGTGGTGCGCAACGGCCTACAATCGCCTCCTATCAACACCTCGAAGGACATGGCAAGCCGCCTCGCTTCCAATCCACGCGATGCCCAATCCAACTATGATGTTATGTCAAGTAGATCGAATATGGTATGTATTGTGCAGTGATAATGGATTTGGCGAAGAAAGACACTGACCCCTCTAGAAGGCGAGCGGAAACCTGATCGATGCAACTGAGGATTTGGCCAACATTGGAGACTATAATGCTTCTTAGGGTTCGTTCACCTCCGTGGCTATAGCGATGCCTCGCACAGGAGCTCAACGCTAACATGTACCAATAGTAGGAACATACAGCCCGTCCTCACAAGGTGCAATCCAAGACTGCATCACTGTGGCTCCCAGTCATCCTAAGACGCATATGGCTCGAGGGAGCTCATCCGCTGCTCTTCGGCGAGATGAGGACGGTCCGAAGTACGATCTCACAACACTTGCGAATCCTATCCGACCAACTAGCGGACCTCATGTCCCGATGTTTAATCTGGAACAGGTTTATGACATCTTCAATGGCATCCCTTGGGGAAATCAACCAAACGACACAGTGGGGGAGCAGAATCCCACCGAGAGTCGCCAAAACGACAAAACTGCTCAGTCTAGAGCCTCGAAACAAACAAAGAGAAAGAGCCTTGGACCTCGGGCTGGCTCGGGAGTCTCCAAGACATCCCGTCTGCACAAGCAGCCTGCCACGCAACTCAAGCGATCTAAAAATCTTCAGGGGAAGAACCCAATCGATCTCGTTGCTAGAGGAGCCATCCCAACCCCCAGTAGCCCAAGCGACCCGGCCCCTTACTATGAAGTTGCGCGCGCTCCCAATTTCAGCAGACCTATTCCCGACTTTGACCTAGCCTTGATTTCTAACTGTCCTAAGCCGCTATCGCCTTCAGATATGTTAGATGGAGAAAAATACTTTCTCTATCAGATGGCCACGGCTCGCCATCTAGCCTTCAACGGAGTTTCGGGCCCATACCAGATTGGTCACTGCTTGTGTGATGTCCATAAGGCAACCGGGAATCTAGTCAAGTTTGCACGTGCCTGCACCGCTCCAAATGGCGAAAGATATTGGCGTCATCTCATGACAAATGCGTCTATAAAGGCTCAGGATGGGTCCAGAATGGCAGGCAAGCCAATTGCACTCTCAAACGGAGCCCTGATTTGGATGGCAGATGAGAAGGGCAAGGTTATAGCTCCTGAATGGACATTCAACGAGCCCCAATTCTTGCCCGAATCCTCGGACGATCAAGAAATGGGACAGTATCCGAAGCAATCTCAGCAGGAGACCAACCCAATCCATCCTGGGCTCAAGAATACTAGCAAAGATCCCTTTTGGTGGTGAACGACACGATATCGTGACGGAGTTGCATGGACGGAGTGAAGAGTCCCGAGAGAATGTTTGTGAACATCCCCGGGAATGGCCACATTCAAGCTTAGGCTCTGCTCGAGTCCCTTCAGTCTTTGTATTCATACGACAAAGTTCATACGGAGTAGGAGTAAAGAACTGTCTTTGGAATGTTTTGACCCGGAGGATCTTGGTTTATACGTTGATGCATGGCCGGAACTTTGTTGTTAGTTGATCTCTGGAGTTGGACTTACTCGATTTTGAGTTTTGATAAAACTCTGCCTGGTCTTGATGTTAAGTAGCGATTCCTAGAACTGGAAGCAGGAATGTGTTTCTACCAATACTAGGCAATAATAATGCCAATTGTCAATGAATAAGTGGTAGTTGTCGAATCAAGTGGCTACCTATGATTGATGATTACGGAAGAATTGCGCACCGACCTCGATAACATCATCGAAAAAGGATGCCCACCCTAACCTAACGTTGGTTTGGGCGCCACTTCTGCTCAATACTTCCACGCCAACACGTCGTCTTTGTGTATTATCAACTCTTCTCGTCCTCATTTTTGCCCCTCTATATCCCTGTTAGACAAATGGGCTCTTCATCTTCGAAAGTCGCCAAAGGCGTAGCGCGAAAGTATCCTGCCCGAGCTCCTGGAGCTGCTGTCCCGCAAGCAGTAGCACGTCAACCAAGGGCAGAGCCACCAAAACCAAAGTCAAAAACCTTGGGGAACAGCGCCAAAGACGACGGTAGATCAACTGGAACCTACTATATATACTGCAGCATCTAACTCGTATCTGTAGCTGTGCGTGCTGACGCTATGGACCCCGACTTCCCAACCGGCGACTTCTCACGCCGTCTACACCAGATGGGAATCGCTGACTCGAACCCTACATATTCTCCTTCGTCTACAGCCGCGACCCCTCTCGGAACTTCAGCCCCTCCAGGACCTAGTTTCGCACCGAGTCGAAGCAATCCAACCCTCGTAGCGCTCTCAGCTCGAGATCGACTACAAGACGAAGCGGAAGAAGATTTCGCAAATATGGGACGCGAGGGCCGACGATTCCTCGATATGAGGACTTTAGTGGATGCTATGAAGTTTCGCGATCGAGGCATACCCGGGAAGGAGATTGAGTCAAGATTAAGGATACAACCGGGGCTGCTGAACAAACTTGGACAGGAGAAGACCTTTTCGCATGTGACAAGTCCGAACTGAGGGCAAGGTACGAGGGAACAGATGGAAATCCATCACGATATCCGCAAGGAAGGATGTGACAAGTGTATTATGATTGTACAATACGATATTTCTCGTCGCTCAGGAGTGGCAACAAACGATATCCAGAACGTACCCCCGAGGCCCAGGTTGCTGCGACTGTTTTGCTTTGACCCAGGACCTACCTTATATAATATGGCTCTACCACGCAGCATGTCCACCATCCATGCGAAGGTCAGCACCTGTCATGAAGCTACTCGCATCGCTCAAAAGAAAGACAGCAGCACCGCGATGCTCTTCTGGAGTGCTTAGACGGCCGAGCATGTTCTCTTTGGGCCACCTTTCGCGACGATCAGGATAGTCGTTGAAGAGATTTTGAAGCATCTGGGTCAGAATATAGCCAGGAGAGAGGGTGTTGACACGGATACCGTGTTCTCCCCATTCCATTGCAAGATTACGGGCAAGCTGTACGACTGCAGCTTTGGAAGGGTTATAAACGCTGGCAAAGTTTTAGTAGCTAGACATCAGAATCGGAAATCGTGCTTACGGCGCGAGCATGCCCTTGTTGGCGATGTTTGCGCTCATACTGGCAATCATGACAATACTGCCAGGCTTTCTAAGGCGAATCATCTGACGAGCAGCTGCTTGGGCAGTCATAAAAGCCCCAGTGAAGTTGATGCTCATCATTCGTTCGGTTTCTTCCATCGAATAGTCGATTGCTGGTGTTTCGTGGTTGATACCCGCAGCGGCGATGAGTCCATCCAGACGACCTGCGCCATTGGCGATATCCTCGAATATGCGATTGAGACCTGGGACATCTCTGACATCGACTTGATGGTAATGAAGTGAGGTACCAAGTTCACGCCCTCGGTCAGAGACTTGTGAGAAGTTGGACTTTGGATCCTCAACTGGCGAGGGCAGTCTATCAACGGCGTGGACTATCATAGTTAGAATTCAGCAAATGATATACTCTTAATGGTCTCTCTCACCAGTAGCTCCGGCTTCAAGAAGAGCTTCAATCTGAACAAGACCCAAACCTCTTGCGCCTCCCGACACAACAATCACTTTGTCTTTGAGGCTGAACTCTGGAAGTAGATGAGGCTGACTCTGCGCCGTGTTGCGTTGAGAAGGACTGTGGTGAAAGACACGAATAGCTACTTGAACATATCTCGTTGCTTGGCGAGGAAAAGCTTGTCTCTGGAGAGGCTGGCGAGCCAATGTTCGAAGAATGGGAGAGAAGTTGTTCATTGTGGAAGCTTATGAGGTATTCCAGGATAGACTTCGTTCAGTGGTAGCTCGGGTTACTTTTGTACGAAAGTCAATGCTAGTCTAATATTACGTGCAATGGCCATGAGGGGAGTGCTCAGTACGGATATCTCTAGGGGTGTCAGTAGTTGTTCTTCGTCACCTCTACTGCACTACGAAGAGTAAGTCACGAGGGATCCTCATGCCCCAGAATGGACAATATCATCAATTCAGACATTCTCGAGGGCGTGTATGAAGAGAATGTGCCTCCGTTTTGCAGAATGAAGTTGACCACAGGCCAAGCTTTTCTACCCCCGGAGCCACCAGGACGTTGTTGATCATCCCGGCAAGGCCCGGGTTTCCTTACAGAGTTAATCAGGTCCTAGCTGAGCAAGGTTCGCCGTCAGCCATTTGACCCCTTACCCCCTTGGCTTACTCCGTACAATTCATCCCCATTTGTATGAGAAGGTTTAGGTGCAAGTGTGATGAGCATATACTCTACCATGAATGTCTCCCTCAGAGCATTGGTTGTCCTATGGCTCCAGATAGAAGAAGTCAAAAGAAAGACCATTGCTGAGGATGCAAGTCACAACATTTCGGGTGATGGTTGCGTTACATGGGGAAACAGGCGGAGTCACCTCCGGATCTGCACCCCGTCCCCAGCTTTCGAGCTCCTCCATAAACAAACTCTCCAGCTGCATCTCAGCTCTTGAACCTAAAGTTGATCGTTTTCCCGCAGTAGCTCCGAATCCGGCATGGAGTAGAATGTTTACTGTGGTGAAGGTGGTGTATTCATTCGCCAAGACTGCTAAGATCTTTTGAAAGCATTCCCTTGAGAATCATGACATAGACTGTTGATACATGATGCATCAGCCCTGGCTATTGAATGATTAAGAGCCAATCTCAGGCCCTGCACCTTGAAATCGCCTGGATATGTGCTGTTCACGGCCGACCTCTATATGGATACCGGTGCGACACCGCGTCACGAGGTATCGTTGAAAAGAGGCTTCCCGGAGAAGAACACCCTCTTGGTTTCGCTTCCTCGGTGTGGATTGCACCGAGGCAGATATCACTACAACGAATTGCCTTGCTCTGAATAGATCTACGCAGGGTTTCTTGCTTTGTAACGAATACTTTGGTTCTCTATATAAAATTTACATGGTGGAATTTGGTGGAGCATATCAGCGAATGGGATAGCATGCCCCCGCGTGCTAGTTCTATCAATCAAGACTTGTTCTTATTCCCAATGCAAGACAACCCTTTCGGTAATTATAAGACCTTGGGGACAATGCTCGGGACGCCAGCCGGTTTAACTACATTGATTGCCTAACATGGTAACCCGGAATCCTTTTGATACAACTATTAGCATTGTACATCGACCTCGATCGCAAATACCAAGCTTAGACAGAAAGTCTACAAGCTTCTGGCCTCTTGATTAAAGTAGCGGTCATGCATAGAGGTTACCTGGCCTGGATTTGTCGTACACGTGAGCCACAGAATCCTGCAATAGCCAATCATGACTCCCAAGCGCAGTATCCTAGAGCTCGACCAGTTGTTCTGCTTCTGGGTGTATTCCTGAAGAAGCCCAAATTGATACTGAGATTGGCTTTTTCCTAAACCTTGCCTAAGGTTCACATCCGTGGACGGCCACCTGTTCTGACACAGCCCCAATATTCTACCCACCGGTGCACACACTGATGCTGACTGGGCAATAAGGACCATCTGCGAGTTAATGCACTTTATATTACCAAGAACGGAGGAAATTCGCGGCCTAAGCATGGTAAGCCTTTGAAGCAGTACATGGATCGTCAACGAAGCAAAGGAGTGACTGGCATCTGAATTATCATGGGAACTGCCAACAATCTGAGTTAAATCGAAACCAAGAGGATGCATTAACGCCTTTTTCCAAACCTCCAGTCATAGCACTATGCTTTTATTGAGTCGCCTCGGTTCGCGTATCCTCTGTGACGACCTCCAATGAGGCCTCCGTCAGCCATTAACGAAATGCTCAAAAACAGAAACATATGGACGAGACAGGCTCTAACTACGCGTATGACCCCCAGAACCGATAGCCTTTTGAAGTTGCCTTGTACCAGTCTTATGCTTGTTTCATTTCCACCGTAGATGGGGTTGTTGCCTTCTAAGCACTGTCGATCCACTGGTAAACAGTGACCAACGTGGTGTAGACCATGGCGATGAAGCCAACAACCATGACAACAATGTCAATGACCTTGGCCCTGGTTGTCTGAGCAGCTCCCTTGTAGTGCAAGTACGCTGGGTAGATGTAGACCAAGGGAACACAGGCAAAGCTGCCAATCAATGCCACAAACTTATCCAAGTCACTGGCACCAACTATACTAACACCGACGCATACGCCTACAAGAAGGGTTCTGAGAGCATTCTTCTTCCACTTGATTGCAGCACTCTTCTTGCCAGTTGCACGCTCACCAAAAACTGAGGTTTCTATAATACGGGCAGCGGGGAAAAGCTGGACAGGATCTCCAGCGAGAACGGCAATTGAATACAGGAACTGGACTGCGTTGACAAGAGGAGAATCCTGAGGAAAGTTGGAAATGACTTGAATCTTGGTATCCTCACCAAAAGTCGCATAGCAGAGTGCTCCCACAGAGGTAAAGATGATCGTGATGATAAACATGACCAAGTAAAGGAGGTTAGGGAAGTGCTCGGGCCTCTTCATGCTTGACTGGATGGGCAGAATAAGTCCAATTCCTTCAAAAGTGAAGATACCCGACCCAATGGTCAAAGTGAAATCTCGTGGGTTGAACAGCTTCACAGTCGAGTCCATGCCACGCTGAGAAAGTGCCGCAATGTCGTAGTACCAGATGTACACAATTCCAATCAAAATGAAGACATCAGCGAGAAGGGCGGCGGGTCCAAGTTTTGAGATGTTTCGAATCAGCGCAAGAGGGACAAGGGCAACCAACTGCAAAGCGATCAGACTGGGTACACTGAACATGAACTCGCGGTGGTTGGCGGTCACGGCGTCAAGAAAAGCATAGAGATTCTCAGCTGTGAAGATGAGGCCAGCACATACAAACCCAAGCTGGGAGATAGCAATCGAAGCGAGAACCAGACTTCTGAATCGAGGCCCAACAATGGCTTCACCCAGTTCTCCATAACCGCCTCCGTAAATCTGTCGGCAGTCAAGAAGAAGACGGAAACATCCGCAGTTGACAAGGGACAACACAATGAGGGTGATTGACGAGAACAGGATGCCACCATTGCGGAACGCCTTAGGCAAGAACATGATTCCAGTTCCGATGAAAGCCTTGATGAGGGTGAAAAACGTCTTTGTGGTTGTAGCGTCGCCCGTCTTGCGCATTCGTTTAGAGCTTCGTCTTCTTCCAAGGAGGGGTCGAAGCTCAGGTGGCTGTTCCACATCGCCGTCTTCTCGATCATCAATGGCAGACTCGTCTTCGCTGTCGGCATCTTCGAGATCTTCGCCGGCAAAGCTTCCGTATAGATCGAGGAAATCGACAAAGTTCTTGGCGACAATTGTGTAGCCACTCATGCGTCTCTGCCGGGCGCGTCTCTGAAGATGGTATCGTCTAAAGCCGCCGGGTTCCCGCTGTTCGGAGTGGCTCAATTCGTCTTCGGCAGCAAGGGGAGGAGGTGTATGATGGGAAAAAGTGGCAGCGCGGCGGAGGGAATTGGCTCGGGCCTTGATCTTGAACATGTCGCGATGCATGTCGCCTCCTTGCAAGAGGAGAGAAGATTCGACGGGATCTCCTGAAGTGTCGTTGTTGTCATTGCTGGCAGACCCCGAAGCGGAAGGGTTGGCTGGACCAAAGGCAACGTCGGGCTCGGCGGAGTAGCCATCTGGGAGATGCCTGTCGAGGATGGCAGCTTTTCGCTTGCTCGTCTCGCTGCCCAAGCTACTGGGTGTTCCGTCGAAATTGGCGAACTCAGCCATGATTGTGGATTGTCAAGAGGAGTTTTACAGTCGTGACGTAGCTCCTGCAGAGCTTTATGGTGGTTGCTGCAGCAGGGTGAACAGTAAATGGCAGAAGATGGAGTCTTAAAATACTCAATCACGAGAAGTTTTCAGCTGTGTTAGCCGTCACTGCAAGCGTCAACAGACATCCGCTGGCGATGAGAAAGGAAATTGTATAGTTGCAAGGAAAACATTGAAAACGGCGAACAACCAAGGGCCTCTACGTTGGGTCGTTCGGTTGTTGTATGACAATCGGGGTCGGTGAATGTCTCTCCCGGTACGCCTAGCTCCTTGAGGCTTGGGCCAGTGGGGTTGACGATCCACGTGCATGAACAGAGTGCAAGTACGCGATACTTTTTCAGCCCCATCTTTCAACGACGAATCGCAGATATCTACTACAACCCAAAGTCGAAGTTACTTGGCTCGATCGCTTCCATCGAGAGCTTGATGCAACCACCTGAACACCACGCTCGGCATTGAACCTGCCTGATTTGACATCACCGAAACTTCTAGAGAGTACCAAGACTGAAGCCTTCAGTTACCTTGTCTCCAGGGCGAGGCAACATGCAGCATCGATATTAAGAACGGTAGCAGCATTGTAGCATTCCAAGATTGCACAAGCACACAGGTACATGTGTGTTTGTTAGCAACATGCTTTCTTTACTGCTGTCTAGTTTGACGTAATCAAGTGATGCTTTTGCCGTTCGTTAAGTAACAGAAATGGACGGATACTGTCAGAGTCAGAAGCTTGAGCTCGGTGATGATCGGATGCTCTGAATGGCTTGTGGCAGAACACAAACTTTGAAGAATTTAACAGTTCATCCACCTAGGTCTAGGTGCCTCTGATGTTCTTCTACATTCTGACCTTTAGGGTGAATTGGATCGTACCCACCTAGGGGGCAGTTAACCGAAGATAAGCCGGCACACTCTGGCAAATTCCTCCTCAGGCACGTAGTGCTAAACCCATTACGCTTGACGCGCCTGTCCTTTTGCAGTCCACCAGAAAGCTCATTCATCAACCTCAAAGCCGACACTCAAACTCATCGCAATCATTCAAGATGAGTTTCGTCCACCTGAACCCTCGCCCCATGCTCGAGAAACTTGTCGGGAACCCAGTTCTTGTCCGTCTAAAATGGGGTGAGGTAGAGTACAAGGGAACGCTGGTTTCCATCGACAGCTACATGAACATTCAGCTCTCCGGCACCGAAGAGTACATCGAGGACAAGCCTACTGGATCACTAGGCCAAGTATTGATCAGGTATGGATTTTCTTACCCATCCTGCATTCTCAGAAACGCGATGCTAACCATGGGATCCAGGTGTAATAACGTGCTGTGGGTGCGCGGTGCGGATGCAGGAAGCGACGCTGATGCCGCTATGACCGGTTAATCTGCGTCAGCGGCGAAGGAAATGTGAGAGGGAGAGGAATGAGACACAATGCTCTTGAAGTTGGGAGAGCCTTGGTATGATACGAGCCCAATTCTCGTGGCCGACGCGACACCGCCTTTTCAACCATCATCAAGCCTGTACCAAAAGCCGAAATCATGTATTCACAGACGCTCCGTTGCGAGGAAGCACTTGTCGACTTGTTTCCAAATTTTTAAACTAAACTTGGGGCGGACGGCCTATGACGGCCCACAGTTTGGCAATATTTGCTATAGTCACGATCTAATTATGAACTGTGAAGATTCCTTTGTGTGTCAAGAAACATGTATTTGAATTTGCTGGCCAGCTTTCAGCTTGGCCCTCTTCTGCAAGCAACTCGATGTCCTCCCAGCCCCCCAAACAACACCAGTACCATTGTTAGCAAACATTCAGAATCCTGCTTGTTTTGGGCCAAGAGTTATGATAGCGCTTTTTTTACGGTAAGTGCCTCTTGTCGTTGCCGACATGGGTGCGTTGATATGCCGAATTCTCGTGCTGCGTAAGGATGAAAGCCAATTCAACCAGTTGCGCTGTGCTCTTTTTCTCAAGACTAGTAAGTCAAACCACCAGCGAGCGTAGGGATGTTGACAGTTTTCAGGCAATTTGAGAAAGCTAGATGAAGTGGTCAGTAAGGCCGCAGAACCAGCCGAGCTGAATGATGATCATCCCAACTTACTCAATGAAGCGACCGACGTCGTCTGTTCCTTGTGGAAAATCCACCTTATTACCCGTCCAGAAATCACCTCCATCAGGCAGGTGTGAATCAATATAACTCTTTAGGAGCCACATTGCGTCGTTCTCCCCTGGTTCTTGAATTGTTTCAAGGCGCTTCTGGGGAGGTGTCGCCCCCTTCTCCCCATTAGACGAGACACGCAACTCCGGAGGATAGTCTGCATCTTCATCAGAGGACTTCAAAAGACTCGATAAACAGCGTCCAGGCTGATCTTCACCGCGAACTGCTTTCCAAAGTCTAATGAATTCGATGCCGTTTTTGTGGCTCTTCATGGCTGACAAGGGCAAAGTACATGTCGAGTTGTTTATGGGAACTTTGATTGTCAATCCTGTTGCAGTTCTGATATCAATTCCCAAGTCCGTGAAATGTATTGTACGTTTATCGTCTTTCTCAAGCGGAGCAATGAGCGGCCCCAGCTTGATGTCCGTCGTAATGATCGAGTCATTTTTCAAATTGAATCTCAGTTGAACTTTTCCGTGCTGTGACACGTTAATTTGGTGTCCTTCAGCTTCATTCAGATTGAGATACGAGGAGTCAGCTACCTTCCCCCTCGTAATTTTGCCGAGCCACTGCATTTGTTGTATCATGAATCGTTGCGATGCCCTCTGGAGTTTTATCCCTCTAGCTTCATTGGTGTCAGACTCATCAGCACCAGTTCTGTCACCGAAAGTCTCGATGAATCTGTCTCGCTCTGGCCATGTCATCTCATCGCCTCTTGCAGTCTCCAGTGAGGCTGCAATCCAAACACCTTCGTCAAGTCCCTGTAGAAACTCCACCCAAGCAACTTTGTCCGATGACCAGCCACATAGTTTGGGCACTTTGTGTTCAAATAGTTGTTCGGCCTGCTGGTGTCTGATTATCGATGAAGGTAGGCCTTCGGTCTTCCCACATCGTTCAAGGGCCAGTTTGAAACGATATAGGGGATGCACAGCAAGTGCTTTGGTCTCGAATAAGGATGCAGGCATGTGAAAGGATGGCTGGTTCCCAGCGATTGCAGAATTTCTTTCATGTGGGGAAAGTTTTGGCAGCTTCGAGGAGGAGTTGGAACCTGTCCAGTTCCGTTCGAGGAGAAAATTCGGCAAGTTTTTGATGTAGCTGTGGATGACAGCATTCTGGAATGAACGGACACATTTGAGAAATTCATCGTTAAAACTTGTCATATCATCCTTCCATTCAGAGGGGTGAGCAGCTTCTAGGGGATTTAGCCCAGCAACCAAACCGCCGGGGCATCGATGGATGCTGGCCGCAACGGAAAAGAGCGCCGTATATTGAGTGACCTTATTTTTTAGTCTCGGAGTAAACTGGAACGACTCAACATTCCTGATGAAGTCGTAAACCTTCCTCCATCTTTCCAGCGTCTTGTCTGAAGGACCCCAGTTATATGACGTTAAGTTTGTCCTTGGGTCGACAAACCGTTCGTTTTCTTCGAACATATCTCGAGGTCTTTTCTTTGAGCCATGTTCTATTGACTCAGGTATCGGTTGAGATATGTCCTGGTCGGAGAGGGCACTGCATGAGAGGTGCTGGTCAAGCACAGCTCTTCTATCTAATGAGATAGTGAATGAAGGGAGTGCATGCCCTTCTGTTGCGGATGACCGAGTTCCTAATGCAAATTTCTTGCAATACATAGTCTCCGAGGTAGTTGTCTTTGTTGTGACAGCAAATCCTTGTTTTGCAACCTGTAGACTTTCAAAGTATCCTGCTTGTTTCAAAATTGCCTCTGCTTGGATGTGGAGTTCGACACATAAAGCCTGGCGAGAAGTATATGAAGTGTCATGACTCGAAAGCAGACGGATTGCAGTGTCCATATAAACCCATGTGGCAACCCAGGGGTACCAGAAGACCCGGTCTTGACTCGATATGCTTGGATTTCTCGCGAAACTACCAGGATGAAGATGTGGAATTATAATGGCGTCGTAGATACTGTTGGGAATTTGTGCCAAACGAGGGACGCCTACTTCGTTCAGAAGGCTATAAATGGTAGTAAGTTGATTTCTAGGAGTCCAATAAACATACGATTTAGGTGGAGTTTGCCGCCGAGATGGTTGGCAGACCCAAGCGTAGACGTGCTGTCCAAGAGTAGCCACAATCAAAGGTTGAATTGCTTCCAGCCAACTATCGAATAACTCCTAGAGTTACGTCAGTGAAAATAGTGACAACAGTTCCAGAAATCCATACCCTTGATCGTTGCTTATGCTTGGGAGCCAGCTGTGGCCAGTTGAAAAGTTGATTGAAGCTGAAGAGATTCGCTATAGATGTGATAGAAGCATCGCACACACCCGCCTCTAATTCAACCATTAAAGCCAGCATACTTCTAATCAAGCTGCTAGTAGCCCGGATGCCACTCAGTATGTTGTTGCCATCATTGATGCTGCTAATCGGTGGTTCTTGTCCGCACAGAGCGAGTAGTGCATAGCCGTTAAGCCAGGATTTTGCAACAGCCTGGGCCGAGACCCCAGAAATGTAGGTCTCGCGGCTCGCTTCCTTCAGTTTGTCTTCCTCACTCCAAACTTTTGTTCGGGCGTAATCCTACCACCCGTCGAAAAGAAGATTGATATGGGCATTGACGTTCTGTGGTGGCTTGGTATAGCAGCCGTTAGCTTCGGTCCAGAGGTTAGTTTTACATCGCAAGAAGACACGTTCTTCTTCGTCATTGACGGTTATGACTCCATATTTCCCCCCACGTTGGCGGTTGAGGAGGGTACGAAACCCGAAAAAAGCAATGAGGCAGCGTTCAGTTCGATCAGTGACGGAATTGTGAAACCGCTGAGACAACATATTCTGTCGGCCGCTCAGTTTGCTGAAATCCGACACAAAACTTCCATGGATTGTGAAAATCTTGTGGAGAGCAGCAATCTCAGGGTATCGGTTGTGGAGTATATAGAGAAACATTCCAAAGAGTGATTGTGGCCGCTCTGTATTCTTCTGCACCCGTTTGAAAGGGTTTCTTGGCCCGGATGTTGACCCAACGTAGCGGACAGTTATCCGAGTGGTTTGGTCAATCCATCTGAGGAAAAATATCCAGTCTTGTATGCTGTTCTCGTACCCGTGTAATCGAAGCTCCTCGATTATTTGGCGAAAGTATCTGGCTTCCATCGGCCAAGATCTGAAGTACGCAACGGAGCCAGCTTCAAGCCTCGGAGACAATTTTGTGCATTGCTCCATCATGATGATCTTTGCTAGCTCATCGTCACTTGTTAGCATTGGATGATTGAGCCAGTCGCGCATGGCAGTTTCGGCTCGGTCATTCTCTCGACATGAAAGGATTCTATCGGCGATTAGTTCATCAACATCTGTTACTAAGCACAGTTGGGTTCGTAGAAGCTGCTGAGGGACAGGGCCATCTCCCAAAGAAGACACAGAGAAGGTTCTATGTCGGGCATTTATCTTCTTGCGCTGTTGTAAAGCTCCTCCAGAAAAGCTGGCGGACCTTCTCCTCGAAGAACAACTGGCCATGGTGTTTAATGATGTGAGCGGCGACTTGATTTAATATGCCATTCGCAAACAAAATTGAGAATACCTGGGTGGCTTGAATTACGGAGAGTGTGGGCAGTCAAAAGCTTCAAGGGTAAGAAGACGAAAAATAGTTGAATTCTAATTTGAGATACCTATATAATTCTCAAATGTAAAGCATCTTTTATCAAAAGTCAAGATGGCCGAGTGGTCTAAGGCGCTGCATTCAAGATGTTATCTTACCTAGTTACATAGGAAATCCTGCAGTATCGAAAGATTCTTGGGTTCGAATCCCAATCTTGACAAGATATATATTTTTTCCTCTTGTAGTCTATATTTACAGACCTATAATGTATACTATTTGCTGCGAGATTGACATTAAACCAGTCAAGATGGCCGAGTGGTCTAAGGCGCTGCATTCAAGATGTTGTCTTACCTAGTTATATAGGAAATCCTGCAGTATCGAAAGATTCTTGGGTTCGAATCCCAATCTTGACAAGATATATATTTTTTCCTCTTTCAGTCTATATTTACAGACCTATAATGTATACTATTTGCTGCGAGAGATTAAATCAGTCAAGATGGCCGAGTGGTCTAAGGCGCTGCATTCAAGATGTTGTCTTACCTAGTTAACTAGGATAATCTGCAGTATCGAAAGATTCTTGGGTTCGAATCCCAATCTTGACAGAAACTCAACTTTTGACTTTCTTTTTTTTATCCTCTAGGAGACATTATAGGTTATATACAGGCTTGCCTCCTATTTACCTGTAAAGCACTGGGACCCAAGCCCGCTGAATAATATGAATCATTACCTGGCAAATAGTTGCGCAAGCAATGTAAGCTGGAGCCTAGCAGTGGGTCTCTGGAAGCGGGGGTGAGAGCTAGGGGCGCTGTTCCTAAGTGCCGCGAATCTGGGGAAGCGGGGTTTTAGCACACTTAGTGGGGACGCTTTAGGGTGCTCAAGGACACTCTGCATGCTAGCGCCAGTGATTAATGGACGGCACGCGACTTGTAAGAGTGTAATGAATCGCTGTAAGTTGTAGGGGGGTTGGGGGGGACAGAGAGTTTGGAATCTATAACAGAAGTACTTGCGAGGAATGTCACCAACAAGTCATCCTGCATAGACGAGCAAAAGGAGCGGGCGGCCAAACACATCGTTCCCCTGTCTGGCTCCTGCATCTGCCCTCTGTTTTCAGTAACTGTGCCGCACATTGTTGTTTTTGGTGTATGAGATACCGCAGGTGGAAGTCTATTGAAATTGAGAAGACAAAGCTGCGTGTTGCTTTGCACTTCACGCCTGTGATGCACTGAACATGAGATTCTTGTCCCTCTCGATCAATCCTACTTGAATACTGGGCTGACACTTGCATTTTATGCAACACACGAAACGAAGCAGGGTCACATTTGTTGATTTCACTGCGTAGAAAACATGCCACTTCCTGCTTGCGTTTACTGGCGGGGCTATGGAGTTTGAGTCGCCCAGGGTCGGCTCCAGCGTCTTTGATTTAATTTCATTTGATTTGCCTCCCTGCAAAACCACGCAGTCACATTTCCCTGCATGCTACTACTACGTGATCATTGCGCTGGGTCAAGAAGCGCAATCTTCACAGCGAGGTACCATATTTGACCATTTTTGAAGTCTGATCGAAAATCGATACTTTCCAGATGAATTTCGAGAATTGCTTCGCTGCCGTCTCTCTCAATCCGGGATGACACTGCACATCTTTGCTACCCAAGACAACCAAACCAACAAGCCACCATCTCCCTTGGAACGGCTGAATCTCGACTCGAAGCGGCCATCCGGCACCACAACCTCAATCTCCTGGATCGCCCCCTGCTCATCCCCGCGTCTAGCGACATTGACCTCTGAGGCGTTCAATGGCGTGGCAACCTTCACATGGGAGTTTCCCCCTTGTCGCACGTATCTCCCCGCCTAAGTTGCCCTGACCTGCGCCTCGCGACAGGTACTTGACTGTTTTCAGAACCTCTTTGACCAACCGTGGGCAACGAGCTATCAAGTCACGAGGGTCGAGGCTCGACGTAATGGAGGGCATGGGCCTAAGGCGCCGCGAATCATCATCTGTCTCGGCCTGCATGAGAGTTTGAGGTTGGGGGGAGATTGCAAGCCATCCGCATTCAAGTGTAACCTTGTCGGTCAGCACAGTATTTGCCTTACTATGTACCGCCACTTACAGCAATTTATGCTTACACCGACAAGTATCGCCCCGTCGGTTCTCAGACCCTCACCATGATCGTTTGCTTGTACTCGTCTGGATGTCGCTGTCTCCCTACCGTGCAGGTTGATCATCCAAGCGCTGTTACCCCGCTCGATCTTGTATACAAGCAGTCATTCAGTCATGGTTGCACGTATATAATAGAGTCAGCAGCCGTTTCCTGCTTGTTTCCATTTTCTGCCTTCTTCATCCCAATCGATTAAATTCTACAAGCACCCATTGTCTTCCAACTTTACTGATACCGCCTCCATATCCTTCCGGCAACTCTAACACTTTTTTCACACTTGTCTTACGAAACCATCAAATCCGGTCGAACACGTCGATTGGATCAACCAGCAGTTAGTAACCCCCCCCCCACAAAGTATCACCAAGCTCTACCTGACACTCAGTGCTAGACATCTAAACCCCCTCCACCACAAATACACAACATGCCTGTCCGCGTTCCCAAGCTCCCCGCCGCCAAGCCCTCGGAGATCTTCTGCATGGGTGCGGCCGGTGTTGGCGTCTTGACACCTCTCTATCTTGTCATGCCTGGGGCTGAGGAGCGTTTATCCAACCAGACCAACAAGTGGGCTCCACGATGGGAGAGGAACGTCAGCTACTTCATTCCTCCCATGGAGAAGGGCGTCCAACGCATTGAGCCTCCTGTGTCCAGAATCGTCCAACGTGTTGAAGACCGTCTCCCCCTCGAAAAGATGGCCAAGTCAGTCGACAAGGGTATCCGAAGTGGCATTGCTCGATTCAATGGCGAGAACAAGCCTTAAGAACTTATTTCATCTGTCTGCGACCAGCCTTTACCGCGCGGGTCTTTCCTTTGTACATTATCATTAGCATACCCCGGGTAGATGTCACGTCGTTCACGAAAGCCCATTCATGAATCACATGGTCTTATCTTCACGTGTACTCTTTTAAACTCATGGTGACTTGTGCCTTGGTGATGACACTTCACGTGGCTCACGATGCGTGAAGTTCACTTAGGTCTCGATCATCTTCCGCGTGCTTTTGATCTCATTGTAGTTGGCATTGGTTCCAATCTTCAACCTTGAGACTGCCCCAAATAGCATTTCATCTTTTACCATGCCAGGATTTAATACCGCAGCTATAGCAACTCCTCGCGCCTGGATTACTGTCTTCGTCCTTTTCACGATCAATTGACCGCTGCCTTCATCCTCCTGGTGCCGTATGTAGGTAGACCCAGCTGACACTCTGCATGCAGACTTTATCTGACGACCACCATCACGTCGGTTCCTTGTACCATATACTACTACTTGATGACAAAACAAGGCCCGAGAGAGATCATCACAATACACATCAGATCATGGCGACGCGATACGACGGTACCTGCCCATATCATGTCAATTCTTTTGATAATGATATGGCTACACGGGTCGACATTCCCTGTACCCTTACGCCACGTTCATCATGTATCAGTCTCCGGACTCTGTATCTCCTGTTGAAAACATGTCTGCATGAGACACTGCACGGCCCCTATGTAACGTTCTTGAGGCTCAAAGCATGTCGTGATGAGTGGAACCTTGGTGCGACACATCCTGGCTCGATAGCTTCAATCTAATAATCGACCCCAGCCGAGCCTTTGTGGATACCTGGTCCATGAACAGTGCATGCCATCAAAAGTGCCATGGGCCGACACCTTTTCCGAGATATCGTGGCCGCAACGCTAAAAGACGAAGCCAAGTGGTGAGATAAGGCTATCTTGCTTTCACTTTCTCTCTCTCTAGTGGCACCGCCTTCTGCGAGTCAAGACACTTGTATTCAACACCACATCAACTTCATCAGAATGACCGTCTTGCTTCGTGGGTCCGCCTTCATCACAGGCGCAGCCTCCGGTACGTCCCGCTATTTGCCTCACTACAAACTATCGCCCCGCATTTCACTATGCGCCGTGGCGTGGCGTGACCGAGACAGACTCGAAGCTACCCGCTTAGTGTCTTGTTAGAGTCTCCATTGCTGATATGATCGTCATTAGGCATTGGACAACAGATCGCCATCGCCTTTGCTCAGCATGGAGTCACAAAGCTAGCATTGGCCGACATCAACCAAGAAGCACTAGATATATCCGCCGGATCTTTGGAGAAACAGTTTCCCCATGTCCATATTCTACCGGTGCATCTCAATGTTCGTGACTCCACGCAGGTCAAGGAAGGCATTGCCAAGACAATCGGCGAGTTTGGTCGTCTAGACATTGCTGTGAATAATGCCGGTATCAGTGGCAGTGGACGAAAGACGCATGAGTTGGAAGACGATGAATGGCTCGGAATTCTCGATGTGAATTTGCAGGGTGTGTATCGATGTCAGAAAGAAGAGCTGGATGTCATGATAAACCAAGAGTACGTCCACCAGGGTATGATGAATTGAAATGAGTGAAGGGCTAAATCCTCCCATAGAGATTTGGGACCTCGGATTGGCCGCGGAAGGATAATCAACGTGGGAAGCATGTTTGCTGTTGTGGCACCAAACAACCAGGACCATACTGCGTATACAACTGCCAAGCATGGTACGTTATGCAATATCTCTGCCGGCCACAGTCCGTTCAAGCACTGATAGACCGCTAGGGATAATTGGCTTGACCAAGGCTGACGCAAACTCGTACGGGCCTTTAGGCATCCGTATCAATGCCATCTGCCCAGGTTATGTCGAGACACCTCTACTAACGAGTATTATGAGTCGTGATCCAGGCTCACCACTCGCAGTGGACTTGTCACGAACTCCTTTGAAGCGCCTCGCCACTATGGAGGAGATAGCAGATGC